AAAAAAAAATAAAAAAAAAGAAAAAAAAAGAGACGAAAATAAAAAATAGTTTATAACACGCTAGTTTGTATTAAAAATAGTTTTTGCAAGAAAGTTTTCTTTCAAAGAAAGGGAGAAAGAGAAGGTTTGCTTCCAAGGAAGAGTAAATTTTGTTCTTCACAAAATTTTTATATTTCTACCAAGAAGCACCAAAATGTTACAAGGCTGTAGCCTTCTTGGTAAAATACAACCAAGTAACAAGGTTACCCAGTATAGTGATTAACTATTGCAAATATATATAGGATGGAGGTGTAGTTGTTTACTTAACTACACAGCAGCAGGCAAACAGTTCAAGATAGTAACAGTATATAGAATAACTTTATTTAATACAAAAATGGTAATAAGCCTTGCCTGTAGAAATTATTCTAAAGAGGGAATATCACACTTTACAAGATAAGAAGGGTTAAAGGTTATCAGAGTCTAATTGAAGTGTAGGAACTTAAGATTTTGCAGAAAGGGAAAAAGGCATCCTTTATATATCTTTTTACTCACAGAGAAGCTACACAATGCACAGTAAAAGAGTAATGCTTGGCAGGTGAAGAAGATGAACTTGTATAGATGAAGTAGAGGATTGTGTTGGATGAAATAAGTGATTGTACTAGGTAAAGTAGGTGAAATATAAATATTACTCATCATGTTTATATTTATTTATTGCTTGTGAGGGTGAATTAGAGCATTTTCTATGCGCTTTGTGTTTAAAGCATTTAGGGTTTGTGCAGGTGAATTAGAGGTTTATGTAAATGAATTAGGTATTCATGTGGTTGAAAAAGGTAAACTCGTGTTACTTTCTTGTATAATACCTTTGTATAACCCAAAGTACTCTTTTGTATAATCTTGTATTACCTCAGGTTACGTAACTGTACCACAGTTCCAACAGCCAATCAGAATATTCCTATACAAATACTATATAATATACTATCTAATATATAAAACTAATATATAAAAATATAACAGATATAATTAATATTTTAACTATATAATAATACAAATATAGTTGACCCTCCTAAATGCATACCGTTAGGACTAACTTCAGGATATGCATTTAGGGAGGGTTGTATTTAAAGAAATAACCAATAGTATTACAGAGTATATAAATCACATGTTCGGATTATCAGCCAATAATATTTTAACTTTTGGTTAATCTACCTCATTAGTTTTCTTCATTTTGTAATATATTAAAGCGAATCTTATTGATCAAGTTTTTTTTTTTTTAACAAACATTTAATAAAAAAAGAATTTTCCAAGATCTGAAAGTTTTATTAGTACCTAACAGTTTTAGTTCGTTTGGTTTATTTTGTTTATTTATAACTAAGTAATTATTTAGATTTCCCTTTAGTTTCGGTTTGCTTAGTTTGTTTATACCCCAAGTAATTATTTAGATTTTGCCTTTAATTAATTTAAATAGTATGTATTAATCGTATTGAACATGTTACTGCCTTTAAACAGAAAATAGTACGATCTACTAGTATATTTTATTAAAATTGTACGATCTACATTTTATAAGAAAAATAAAAGTAAGATCTAACCCTATTGTAAATATATATGTTTAAGATTTTTAGTTAACTAAATAGTTATATTCAGTTAACTAAGTGGTTATATTATTTGAGTTTAAAACTTTCATTTTTAATTATAGAAAAAAAACTAAACAGATTATCAATCTGTTTTACTGTAATAGATTTTACCATAGAACTTACGAGCTATAGTAAGGTTTAAAATGAATCTAACTTTAAGTTAGACAAGCCAAGTAGAAGAGTTTTTTTTTTTTTTTTTTTATCTTTTTTTAATTTGAGCAATTATTATTTCTAGTACTTTGATTTAATTTTTTGTTGAATTAGCATTGACTTTCAAGTTGTTTAATTTAGGGTTTCGAAGATAAAAAAGCAATGTTAAACAAAGGTTTGGATTTAATATACAAAGGAATATTTTATTATATACATACTTTATATAGCTAGCTTAAAGAAAGTTTCTATAGTTAGTTGCTTGAATGAAACATTCTAGAATTTTCTTACTAGCCCAGACAACTTTGATAAAGCTATGTCATATTCTGTATGAGCTACATCACTAAGGTCCTGTTGCATGAGATATAACTCTAATAAATGTACAGCATCTGATGCTTCTTTGTAACTAACTTGAGATAATTCTATATTATCATCTTTCTTATCACTCTCCTCATTATCTTCGGCAGTTTCAGGATCTGGGTATGTAATTTGGTTTATAATTTCCTGGTCACTTAGTATTCCGCTTACATTTTTTTCTTTTGAATAATTAATATATTTCTCTAGATCTATTACATTTTGAAAGTTGAGCATTTCTACATTATTATACAATTTCTCTATCAAATTGTCATTATCATTGTCATCATCACAGGTAACCTTATCATCTTGAACAACCAGAAGAATTCCTGTATACCTATAGCAATTTTGTATTGTATCTGATAATATCTCTCTTCATAATTAAGCAATAAATTTTATAGCAGTAAGGACGTCCAATTTATCATCACTTCCAGATTCATATTGATCAAGTAACTATTTTATAAAGTAATTTCGATAGCAATGTTTAAAGAACATTATAATTCCAACATTTATAAGCTATATATAGAATGTTGTATGTAGGGGAAGGGTATAGACAGTTGTATTACAAAGTTTTAAATTATTAGAAGAATGATATTTTGCACTATCAATTAAAAGAATTACTTTACGACTAGCCATTTTTAGGTCAAATTTTTTAAGCTATTTTTGATACTGTATACTTGTTATTTATACATTTTGACTTGCATCATACATAATACCAAGACTACGATGTTTGATAGTTTTAAAGCAACGTGAATTGAGCGACTTACCAATAACAAATAGCATTATTTTATCTGTTCTATCAGTATTGATACAAAATGCTAAGATAAATGCTCTTTATATTTTTTTTTCCCCTTAAGACGAACGGTTGCTAGTGTAGTATCTGGTTCTAGACTTTAAAAAAAAATAATAATAATAAATAAAAAACAGAAAAAGAAAAAAAGAAAAAAAAAGAAAAAAAAATGAAAATAAAAAATAAAATAAAAAATAAATAAAAAAAAATAAAAAAAAAGAAAAAAAAAGAGACGAAAATAAAAAATAGTTTATAACACGCTAGTTTGTATTAAAAAGAAAATAATAAAAATATAAAATTAAAAAAATGAAAAATAAAGAAAAAAAGGTAAAATGCAAAAAATAACAAGAACAAATCAATTAAGGTGAGTATTAATTAATACAGTCTAATTTATTAATACCGATAGAATAAGCCTGTCACATCCATATTGTAAATATTTTTTAGATTGTATTAACTATGGAATAGCAGCATTAACAACAACATTATCAACAGAAGCGTTCTCTCCATGTTTTTTTATTTGTTTTAAGCCATGCCTTTTTTTGAACTTGTAAAGCCAGCCGTGCAAGAACTTAAAATCAATCTCAAGTATGTTTAATAATATAGCAAATTTTTTTGCTTTTTCTATTATAATTTTATCAGATAATATTACATTATCTTGATTTTGTAAAATCTATTCATGCAACATATCTTCAAGCACCAGATATTAAACTGTTCTCTGTCTTTTTGCTAAGAGATTTTCTTTAATCATTTCCTTATTTTTTAATAAACAGCTAATGGTACTTTGATAAATATTAAGGTCTATTGTTTGTTTAATCCAATTGATGAGATCAACCTGGCTAATTTTAAGATTTTTTTCTTTATGTTCAATGATAGCTTTTTTTTGCTCATTGGTAAGGGTGGTTTTAGTTTCTTTAGATTTTATGGATAACATTTTGATTTTTTGATTTTTTATTAATTAAGGCTTAATAGACGGATAAGCATTTTTTCTTTAGTTTTATAATTTAATTATTTATTTGGTTTATTTAAAATAACCTAATTTATTATTTACAACAATAGGATAGGATTATTGCGTTATCATATGATGCTTAACGACAAAAGGCTTTTTTTGTAATTTACATATTAATATCGAAATCTAGTCTAGAAATATACCAAATTTGGTCATCGATGATCTTACCTTATTTGATAAATGATCATCAGTCGGATGATTCTAGATTTCATGGCACATGAACATGAA